CATCAAAACATTGTTAGTAGTAAGATCCTAGGCATGATACTGAACGGGTTAATAACAAATCATAGCATGTCACTAATAATCAAATCAAAACGTTATCCTAAACATGATACTAGAAATCATACTAACATCCTAAACATGATTTCTACTCCAAAATTAAAAGAATAATAATAAGGGTGATTAAATCACTCACTTTGATGCCTCAACCTTCTTCCTATTAAAACAATACACACATTAGTAAACTTTAAGAAATTTAAATCAATAAAGTAAATAAATCAAATATGAATTGAAATATAGATTTATGACCAAACCCTAAGAACTATCAACCTTTCACGTCGAGGTCAAAGGCAACATTGAGTATGGCTTGGAGTATTCGAATCTCGCGAATGAGGTATTGTGACTGATTTTGGAGAATATCAAGGATGTGTTTAGGCTAAGAACATATATGATTGATAAGGATTGATGATGATTAGAGCTAGGTGGTTGTAGCTAATTGTGGCTTATGATTGATGGTTCTAGCTGATTTGAAAGCGGGGAAAACGACCTTTATTTATAAAGAAAAAAGAGAGTATGGACGATCAGAAAAGATTAGAATTTGAACATAAATAAAACTGACTTTGACATGACGCGACAGGATTATTGTTGTTGCGCCGCGTCAAGACTTTCGTTGTGGGATGTTTCTGGCATCGCGTGCTTGTTTAGAAGATAATTAAATTTTTATAGAGTTTGATTTCTAATGGAATCATGATCATGAAATATATCAGAATGTCTTTGAAATTGAATAGGATGAGGATTATAATATGAAAAGTTTTATTCGGTTTCGAACTCTTTTGATCTTTATCTTTTCACGAAGGATAGATTTGAACCATCTAGAGGATTCTAGAAGTTCCTAACTGACTTAGGATTGGGAATAAGATATTTAGACCCTCATATGATCATTAGGTCGTAGGTAAGGTGGACCTAGGCTCGGTTTGGGCTCGGTTTAGTATTTTCTCCATAACATATTTGTTTTAAGTCGGATTTGGGCTTATAATATATCGTTGGAAAACTCTTTTCAATCCCCATCCAACTAAAAAAATAATTGGACTGAGAACATAGACCAAAATAATCTGGTTTGGACGTTTTTATGACTTGGACACGAAATAAATGATTTTTAAGGATACAAAATGAATGATTTTGGATTAAAACATTAAAACATTTTAGGAAAGGATAGAAATATGGTCAAGGCTTAAGGAAACTTTTCAAGACTCTTCAACTCTTTACCGAACTCTTTAATCAAAGACATGAAAGGTACTCATCACTAGGTTTGGTTTTGGGGAGACACAATCAGGTGTCTACAACATCATAAGGAAGAAAGCTTATGTGAGGATCTGATGACCATAGATCAACCTACACCTGAGTTGGTAGACTATGACCTAGAAGGTCTTGATTTGGAAGTTTCAAAATCAAATCTGGAATTTCTATTGAAGTATTCAGAGGAGGATTGCGAGGCAGATTGCAATACCGTGACTTTACCAGTGGAGTTTAGAACTCAAGTGGTGAAACCTGGTACCAGTTCATGGGCGGATGAAGTGGATCAGGCATAAGCTGCAAGTAAGAATAAACTTTCTACTATATCTGCTGAATTGAATAAAGCATCATCTAATTCACCTATTAGAAAAACAGTAACACATGATCAGGAGTAGTTAGTCATTCGACATTTGTTAAGAGATTATAATGTTAATAAAGCACATAACAAACCTCTTTTCGTGACTGTAAATTTCAAAGGGTTTGAGCTAGGAAAAATAATAGTCGATACTGGGGCACTATAAATCTAATGCCTTTGTCTGTTTTTCATAAAATTGGTAAGAGAAATAAAGATTTGGCTAGTGTTACGATTAATATAGGTATTTTCAAAGGCAAGTCTGAACGTATTGAAGGGTTGGCATGTATTAAAATCCAAGTAAGTACCACTAGGACTGTTTCAACATTTTTTATAGTAAGAGGAAAGGCATCTTGTAATGCTATCCTAGGTATAGAATGGTTTCATCAAACGTACGCTTTCCCTTCATCTTTGCATCAGAAAATAAAATTATGGAATGGTGATGAATATGCGGTAGTTTGTGTTGATGTAGAGGCTTTTATGATTGATACTAACCAAGATTTTCCCAGGGTTCTTGTGAAGCCAACACCAAAGACAGATGAGATTGTACTCAAACTTGACTCCCAATCAGTTCCTAAACTGAAGGTGGTATCAATTTCAATCTCCAAGATAGAAGAGGCAGATGCAGAGGAAGATAAACGCAATTCATCTGCGGAGTCTAGTTCTGAGTTTAAAGTACTTAAGATTGGATGTATTTAGTATCTAATCTATGTACATTTGTAGTTTGAACAAATTTTATGGATAATTACATGAAAAGAAAATTCAGATATGGTACTTTATTAGCTCTTCAAAATTTATATGCAAGTTATTATTTGTAACATAATATAGAGGTTAACACGAACATGGAGACTCTTGAATGTTTATCTGACAACTCAAAAGCTGATGACCATCCTCGATCATCGCTAAACTCGGACTTATGGTGGAGAAGAGAATAAAAGAGTATGTGCTAAGAGTGAAGATATCAAACAGGAAGTCCACGATCCTCCAAAAAAGTCAATCTTGGAACGAAAGATTGTCATAGATTCACTTATGTAAGTAAGGAATTACTCGACAAGGACAAGTCATTATTGTTTAACATACTTCATAAATATAAGGATTGTTTTGCATGGGAGCATCACGAAATGCCTGGTATAGATCCTTCAATCATCCATCATAGGCTTCCTATTAAACCAAGTTACAATCCTACAGTCCAAAATCCAAGACGTTTATCGCCAGAATTAATTTTTAATATAAAGGAAGAAATTGCTAAACTCTAGGAGGCAAGACTCATACAACCCACCAAATATGCAGAGTGGATAGCTAACATTGTTCTTGTGATTAAAAAGAATGGCAAGATTAGGATATGCATAGATTACAAAGACATCAATAGTGCATCCCCAAATAATAAGTACCCCATGCATGTAGCAGATATGTTGATAGACGCTTCATCAAGACATAATTTTGTATCAATGGTAGATGGTTTTATTGGGCATCATCAAATAAGGATCGCTGAAGATAATCGCTCAAAGACAACATTTAGATGCCCAGGATCTTTAGGACTCTATGAATATGTAGCGATGCCATTTGGACTTAAGAACGCATAGGCAACGTATCAAAGAGATATGAATCTCATATTTGATGAAATGATTGGTGACTTTATGGAGGTTTACATAGACGATGCTTTGGTAAAATCCCATGACTTATCAAAGCATTTGGAACATCTTATTCTAGCGTACGAAAGAATGAGGAAGTTCAATCTAAAGATTAAACCCCTTAAATGTGCCTTTGAGGTTAGAGCCAGTAACTTCTTGGGATTCCTGGTCCATAAGAATGGCATTGAGGTTAATCATCTGAACAAGGCTAAGGCCGTTCTTGAAGTATCACCCTCAACCAATAAAAAGGAGCTCTAGAAGTTTATGGGACAAATTAATTATGTTCGAAAGTTTATCACTAATCTGGCCGAGAAAACGAAAGTGTTTTCTCCCCAACTTAAACTTAAACAAGGATTAGAGTTTAAGTGGGAACCGGAACATCAAGAGGCCTTTGAACTGATTAAGAGGAAGCTGGCTACTCCACTAGTATTGATTCCTCCCAAAAAAATGGAAATCCATTAAGGTTGTATCTTTCAGCTATAAAGGATTCAATTGCAAGCATGTTAACCCAAGAGAATGAACAGGGTCATGAACATGCAATTTTCTATCTAAGCAGAATCCTACATGATACTGAAACTAGATACACTAATGCTGAGAAGTGATGTTTGAGTTTATATGATGCTTCCATCAAAATTAATTATTATTTTATGGCTTTTCTAGTAGAGATTGTTACACCAACAGATGAGCTCAAATACTTACTAAATCATCCTTGCATCAAAGGAAGGTTGTGTAAATAAAGTATGCATCTATCACAATTCGAGCTATCTTATGTACCTCAAAAGGCTGTGAATGACAAGCGCTGGTTAACTTTTTGGCTGAACATCCACCTATGGAGAATGTTATGGTCCAAGAAGAGAAACCATGGACAATGTTCTTTGATGGATCCAGTAGGAGAGAGTCAGCTAGAGCTGGAATTGCGATTTACTCACCTTCTGGTGTAGTGACTAAGATGTCAATCATTTTCTTAACTCAATGCACAAATAATAGAGTAGAGTTTGAAGCCTTAGTGATTGGTTTGAGGACTTTGAAAGATATGGGAGTTACAAGGGTTAAGGTGTTAGGCGATTCGCAATGGGTGATAGCCCAAGTAAACAAAGAATACAAAGGAATTTCACCTCTAGTGATGACTTTTTCATCTATCGTTCAATAGCTTATCAATGCTTTTGAATTTATCCAAGTCTCTCACATCCCAACGGAAAAAACAAAGAGGCTGACTTTTTGGCACAACATGCATCACTACCCGATTTTGAAGGTTTCGATGAATCAGCTATTCATATAAATACATACAACTTGAAACCTTTAGATAACAAAGTGAAGGCAGAAGTGCACAAGTATAGTATTCTTGCTTAGGACATATATTGGAGGGAAGAGATTAAGGAATACTTGAAAGACCCTTCAAAAGGAAAAATGCGAGCAAAAGATAGGCTTGTAGCTACTAAGTACTTTCTTATAGGAAGTAAGCTGTATAGGAAGGATCCTCAAGGCATCTTACTAAGGTGCGTTAGCACAACGAAAGTGTTAACCAATATAGCAGAGGTTCATCATAGAATTTGTGGGTTACACCAAACGTGGACTAAGATGAGGTGATTAATCCATCACATGGGATTTTATTGGCCTTCAGTTACACAAGATTGTTTGCAGTATGCAAAAGGTTGTAAACAATGTCAACGCTTTAGACCAATAAGTAGGGCACCAGCAATACAATTGCACCCCATTATCAAGCCCTGGCGATGGATGCAATTGCGCCTATTAAACCTCCCTTATCAGCTCACCATGAGTATATCCTGATAGCTACAGATTACTTTACAATGTGGGTTGAGGTCCAAGCCTTCAGAAGCTTAAATTCAAGGGCAATAATCTTGTTCTTAGAAGAGAAAATCTTTACAAGATATGGGATTCTAGAATCCATAACTATGGATGAAGCAACCATGTTTATAGAACATGAGTTCAATTCCTATCTCAAGGAATTCGAGATGCAAAAGATTCATTCAACCCCTTATTTTGCTAAGGCCAATGGACAAGCCGAAGCTATAAATAAAGTAATCTCTAAAGTGATTGCAAAGATGGTGGATGAAAATCCTAAAAATTGGCATATTCTCTTACACTAAGCTACTTGGGCATTCAGAACATCAAAGAGAGATGCAATAGGAACTACTCCTTACCAACTAGTGTATGGGCATAACTTGTTATACCAGTAGAGCTAAGCGCTAAGTCTACCTGGATAGCTAAACAAATGGGTATAAGCCAGGAAGACTATCAGCAATCTATGTCCATTGAATTTATGGTCTTTGAAGGTGAGAGACTCCAAGCGCTAGCTAAAATCGAAGCTCTGAAAAGACAAGTAGCAAAATCTCATAACAAAAAGGTGTAACATAAAATCTTTTTGGAAGGAGATTTAGTGTGGAAGATGAAGCTTCCTGAAGATAACTATAAAGATAATGTCTTTGGTATATGGTCTTCCAAATGGGAAAGTCCATTCATAGTTCAAAAAGTCATGTATGGGAATGCCTATTTACTACAAGAGTTAGATGGGGAAATGTTTCCAAGGGCACTTATTGAAAATTTCTTAAAATAGTACAACCCAAGTATATGGGAACGGTATAAAAATTTACAGCAAAAGCATCCATCGTTAGAGGTTTTTGACAAATGAAATGTATTGTTTACAAACGAAGGGACTTTTCAGCCGTTGCTTTGCGTTTAACCTCAGAAAGAAGAACCTTGCACTTGTTCATCAACGTCATTTGACTACCATGGTGATCAAATTGAGACAAAGTTTCTTGAACTATTAGAGTACTCTCAGATTTCTAGCGCTTCAAATGTTTCTTCTCTCTTTAGCGATCCTAGAGCTTTTGCTCTACCACAGCTCTCTTTGCCTGAAGTTTCTTTTCCTCCTCCATAAGCTTATCGATTTCAGTTCGCAAGTGGTCCTTCTCCACATCTAGCTCCAGGTCTTTCTTCTTCAAAAGATATCGTTGCTTGAAAACTTAGGACACTTGTTGGGATATATCATAGATCATTAAAGGAGGAAGGGATGATCTTTTGTAGGCCAATTCAACAGCACATGCTTCACAGGTGACGGATAAGTTTTCCTATACTACGGGATCATTATTTTCCAGTAGACAAACTTGAGCCATAAGTTCCAGATATAGCTTGATCTATGCACTTAGCGTTTCTTGCAACTCTACTCTCCAACAAAGAGCTAGGACTTCTTCAAAAAGTTTGATCTCTAGAGAGGTAGATTCTCGGGTATATATGTTCAACAGTTAAGCGTTATTCAAGTAAAGACTAAATAAGCATGATAACTTTACAAGGCTAGAATGCTTACTTTCATCTGATGCTTGCACTGTTGAAGTCTCACTGTTTTTAATTCCTTGATCAAAGGTTGTTAATGCTGAAAATAACAAAGCATATTAGATGACAATAAGGAGACAAAAAAGGAAGACTTTTGTCATTTACCTAAATTTGGAGATGCACTCTTTTTTGCAAGAGCTTCCTCACAAAGGCTTAATTTTGCAATATCAGTCTGAGGCTCAGCATCCGTAGTCTGAATATTTATGGTGTCGTTTTGCACCATTACTAGAATGGACTTTGTGATTTTTTGTTCAGTTTCATCATGAATCTCCACTTCTTGTTCTTGAATCGTCATAGAAGGTTGGGTTGATTCAGGCAAAGATTCCGAGGCTGGAATGAGAATAGAGTCACTATTTCTTTATTTAGCACCATCATGGGCAGTCACTACCTTGTCCTAAACAACAATAGAAGGTTGTTTTAGCTCAGATATGGACTCTGAAGTCACAAATGATGGATTAGAAACTAGGGGGGCATTAATATCAACATTAGCATCGACAGTTTTAGCAAGCTTGTCTGTTTGTATGGAGACAGGAACTTTGGATTGTTGTAATTTAAGGGAGGAAACTAGAGTTGTTCTTGAAATAGAAGCTTCAAAATTTAATTGGCAAGGACTTGTTTTTGTACCCATATCACCTTCAATGTTTGAAGCTCTAGGTTTATCACTAGATGATGAACTACACCTCAATGGCTTTTTGTGTGAATTAACGCTCTAGTTCTTAGTTAAACCAACATTAACATTACCTTTTCTCTTCTTCTTATCAGGCCCTTGATTCGTTGGAGAGGAAGGTGCAGGATCATGAGGTGGTGACTTCTCTAATGACAGCAGGCTAGAACCAGCAGTTTTCTCTAAGGTATTTGGAAGGCTTACTGTATTTCTTAACTCTTCTTCATCACTTTCTATTGAAACAGGGTTCAAAGGCGTGGTCTTCTCTGGAGAATTCCGTTTCTTTTTAGTATTGGGAACTAGACCTAATATGAAGGAAATTGTAGTGAGTAACAAGGTACAAGAAGCATGGACAAATTAGTGCTAATTAGTGCACTTACTAGTAAGAGGGATATCAATAGTTTCTAGCTCTGGTTCTATTTTGAATGTAGATTGTGACCTTATGCTGGGACTTGACATAGGGATGCTTCTATGCATATTACTCCTTGACTTCTGTAAGGAACTTGGGGTCGAAAGAGAGACTATCTTTCTCAATCCAACCCTATCAGTGTTGGGATGCATGAATGATATTTCTGTGTGAATCATCTATGGCCACAGGTTCATAATTAAACTCTGCGGCAGTCTTAGACGAGCAATCAATCTGATGGTAAGCAGTCTTGCCCTTCATTTTGATTGGAGACATAGCAGTCTTCTTCTTACCTGAAAAGTAGATTGTGAGTGGAAAATAGAAATTAAGTGAAGAAAGCATTAAGAAGGAATCCTACCTTTATAGTTGCCCACAATCAAAGCAAAGTGTGCCTTGGCATCTTCAATAGCATGAGCTTGAAGTGGTCCATGATACCACCACTCAAGATAACTCAAGGAAACCACATTACTTGACTTCCTGGGTTGTAAACCTTGTAGGATATGTGAGGGAGTCACTCTTCTAAACATCTTCTTCGTGATTTTTTGGCCGAGAATCCCAAGGAATGTTACATGTGGTATACAGAGGAACAACAAGAGATTGGCACAAACCAAATTGTCTGGCTACCATCTAAGGATTATAGGCTTCAAAACCAAAGTGATTTGGCTGCCCTACGGGTAAATCTCTAGAAGCTAATACAGAACACCAAAATGGGGAGTCCTCCCTAAGGGTTATTTTCATGCCTACCTTTTTGAGCCATTCTGGGGTTGCATAAAAGACCTTTATACTGTTAAGATCCGGGTTATCTTCCGGCTCATGATATACCAACTAACGGTAAAGGGTCTAACTTCAGCAGACACTACATAATAAGATTGGGTTTAGGAACTTTTTGGTGGTCAAAATAATTAAAGCATATCTCTACATATGAACAACAGTCCACTTTCAAAGTTTTCTCCCTATAATAAAGTTTAGATACATACAAAGCTGTCTCAGCTGCCATCTCTTTCTTAACATCTTCCTCGGTCTTCTCCATACACAAAGTAGTGTAGAGATTACCCTAACAGGTGACCAACCGCAATGGTCCACCCACATTCTCTAAACTCTTACCTGCATTAAGAGCTTTCTTACATCTAAACAAACATATGTACAATTGTCCTAAAAAGATTGGACCTAGCTCTACAAAAGACTTACTATGGGAAATGTTCACTACAAGTGGTAATAACAGTGCAGAAAAGCCACCAGATTTGCACATCATTAAATGAGTAAGAGCGAATAAAAGGAAAAGTACCTCTTCCTCCTGCAATACCTTAGCAGAATATGATGATGATGCAAAGTATGAGATATAGGCATTGAAGCTAACCTTGCTACTTTTGGACGTTGCCAGTATTTGCTTTAGAAGGTTATGACTTTTGTTGTATAAAGGTCCAGCGTCTTTAATCAGGCTAAACACTCTGATTTGTTGGCCAATATCATTATAAGGTGATAGACCAATAAGGAAGGCCATATGAGCAAGGGTGACGATCATGCAGTGCAGGATGAAACAGTTTAACACGAGATCCGAGAGCGATATAAAAGCACATGTCAGCGATCCGTTGAATGGAATCTTACCATACGTTGCTAGTTTATGGAAACCGAAAATTCTCTTCTTCTCCCATGAGGAGTGGAATTCGGAAAGCTGCATAAGCCACCCTCTGGCTGTCAGGTCTTGCACCCAACCTTTAATTGGATTCTGGCTTAAAACCCAATTGTCGTTTGGATGCAATTCATTGAATGCAGCAGGGTGGGGTGAACCTTTAACATGGATAAACTTGGTTGACTTAGGCTAAATTTTCTTTAGGAAATCTTATTGAGCATCAGAAGATGAAAGGTCAAAGTGAAACGCTGGCCCTTTTAAGGCTGTGCTGTATGAAGTCAGATCTGAAGTTCTAAGGGTATCTACTTATCAACTCACATAATTCTTGAGCCTCAATTAAATATTCTTTTACCGGAAAGGATTTAAGCACTTCTTGTAAAGGAAGGGAAGTCATTTTGCACTTTGCAAAGTTCAAAGAATGGAGGGTTAAAAGTTTAGGAGATCATAGAGTGAATTGGTGATAAAATAGGCTGAAGGATGCCTTGAAGGTTTTTATGGTTTTTTCTAAGCGTTGGAGAGCTAGTTAAATTGTGTCGTTTGGTTATAAAACGATAAAATGGCTTGGCAGAGTATGTTAAAAGAATTTGATTTTCAATTGGAATTAAGATACGCAACCTTAAACGAAGCGTTTTAGGGATCGATTTGGTAATTGGAAACCAAGCGATGAAATTAAGAAATTACTAAATTATCCTTCGACAAGGCCTATCAAATAACACTGTTGATAGCTTTCTATAAGGTAATTGCTAGGTGATTTCTGAAAATTATATAATCTTTAAAGTGATCAGAACATTTATTTCAACTTATAAATATAGGTTGAGATCATTAAATCACTTATACTGAAAATACGCAAGGTGTATCTTTTCTCTCAACAAAAATCTTTTGTCTGAAAATCCAATTCAAATCTTCTTAAAAATCTTTCTTTCGCCATAACTATGGAGAGTCCAACCTCTAACACAGCCGAGTCTCATCTCAAGGGGACAATAAAAGTTTATCTAGACATAGATGAACTATCTATGGAGTTCCCTGAGAAAGAGAAGCTTTGTTCGGGAGATTAAGA